GATTCAATCTCGTCATCTTCCAAATCGTTGCCTTTTATGGCACACGTGTAAGAGGTGACATGTTCGTTAGGATCGGTCGTACCGTTGTATTTAGGAATTTCGGGCATACGAAACTTTTTGGGGATTGGCTTCGGTGCCGCACTCGATAGAAAAGGCTTTTGTATGAATTGTTTTGAATCAAGCCCTTTTATCATTGGCGGAGCTCCCGGAATTTGATCGACCCTGGCATTATACGTCTCTACCCTCTTGTCGTTAGCTTCGACTCATTTCGTGAGTTCCTCGAGCAGTTTAGTAATTCCGGGATTAGTCCCCGATTCCTGCTCGTTAGATTTTACTATGGCAGGCTCTGTTCTGGGGGTGACCTCTCGAGGTGGGTTGGAAACCGGCCTGCTTTGTGCGCGAGTTTGGCTCTGTAGCTGAGCTATTGCTAATTGTTGGGCTTGTAACATCTCGAAGATCATGCGTAAGCTGGCCCCGATCTCCTACGGGTTTTGGGTGTCTTGGGCTACGGATCGAGCACCGCCCTGAATTCTTCTTTCCGGTTCGAAACGCTGGTTCGCTTCCAAAGCAATTTATGAATTGACATCTAGTGGTATTCCGGCTCGAATCTCGGGTAGTGCCAAGTTGTTGGTTTCATCTTGAAGGCCAGCTTCGTAATCGGTCGGCGAAGCCATTTGGTCGGTGGCTATTCATAGCCGAACCTGAATTGAAGGTTGTTTTCGGAAATAAGTGACCACTATTATCCTCGGCCCCACGGTGAGCGCCAAACTGTTTACTCGAAAAAAGGGGATAGAGTTGAATTTAGGCGCAGTTCCGAAGATACGTGGTACAACTTAATACAGAATGCTAGGATAAATAAAAGTATGAATATAAATTGGAGAAAACGTGACTTAGGTCAATCAATTATGAACAGTGAAATTTATATTTTAACAAAAATAGAATCAATCTAAGAAACTAGAAAGATCACTCTCGCTTGTAGAGGGGATAATACAATTTTTGATAGTCTCCGTCCTCTAATAGATGCCTCACAAAAATGATAAAACTAGTCCTTTTATAGTGAAGGGGTTTGGCTCCAAGCATAATAAAATAAACATTCAGTGGGAAACTCATGATAAATCAGCTTTTCCATAGTTTCTGCCAAGATTCTCTCTCGTGGGATTATAACGGCTTTTGCCTGCGAGCCTGATCTTGCTTAGAACCCTCGATTTTGGTTCGAGCTTGATTTCAGCTCGAACTTGTGATCTTGACTCGAGCTCGATCCCGGTTCGAGCCCTCGAACGGATTCCTGGTCGATGTAGGTTGGTTTTTGGATTATCTGCACGATAGATCTACCCGCGCCATGGTTCGATTCTTGTTCGAGTTTGATTATGATATCGATCTCAACACGGACCGGCCTTCCCAAGCTCTAGATTAGTTCGTGCCCTCCCCACTTCGGGATCTTACTTTGATACATCACCCTTCGAACCGTACCGGACATGCCAAATCCATTTCGACCGTGTACAACCTGAAAAAAATTGATTTCTTTATATGATTAATAATTTAACTTGTGGCTCAAATATGACGTTCATCTTGATAGTTTGTTTTACTCTTGCAGCATCGGAAGTTTGGGAAGCAGTAATAATGAAGCTGGAGTTGTGAATATAACAGTAACCAATTCGGTTTTCACAAAGACACAGAATGGTGTTAGAGTAAAGTCATGGGCAAGACCAAGTGGTACCTATGCTAAAAATCTCATGTTCAGAAATCTTATAATGAGGAATGTTGGGTACCCCATAATCATTGACCAAAACTATTGCCCTGATAATAGTTGCCCTCATCAGGTATATCATAAATTTATCTCCAACAAAATTTCAACTTATTTCGTCTACTTTTCTTTTGACCACAATACAAAGACCAAGTGTAATAACGCTAACACGGTATATGTAAAATTTAATTATAAGGATAATTGCACCTTTCATTCCCCAGTTATTGGTAAATTTTGATTTTAGACCTTGTGATTCTTCACTAAGAATATTTAACCTTGATCGGATTAAGATTGTGCTTTGATCCTTTAAAATTTGTCGTATTAAAATTATTTTTAGAGCTGAAATATGGAGTAAGAATACACATTTAACATAATTAATGGGTAGTTAAAATAGTTTTAACAGTTAATAATTCCTTAAATTTGTAATTGTTCACAACCAAAAATCAAATTACATATTTCAGTTAATTGAAGGTTAAATATGCTTAACAAAATTTCACAAGGATTAAAATCAGAATTTGTTTATATTTGAGGGACTAAAAGTGCAAATTGTCCAAATTTATATTACATAAATTGATAATGACATCATTCTAATTTATCTAAATATAAAGCACCATAAAAGAATAACTAACATTACAACTGTCATTTATATATAAATAAACTTACTGTTTTCTGTGACATGAATATAGAATTCAGGAGTAAAGGTGAGTCAAGTAACATACAAGAATGTGAAAGGAACATCGTCCACACAAGTAGCCATGAAATTTGATTGCAGTTACACAAATCCATGCACCGGAATCAAACTGCAAGACATAAAGCTTACTCACATTGATCGCCTAAGAAGACCAGCAATATTGTACTGTAGAAATGCAAGGGGAAGACATAGCGGCACAGTCATTCCCAAGGGTTGCTTCTGAAAGAATGAAGAAAAAAAAGCAGAAAATGATTCGTAATAGTTAAAATTAACATGTTGTACCTTGTATTAATTAAAAGTATCTGGATTGTCTTTAAAGGATTTAGTCAAGTTATTATTTTATCTATAGTATCCTAGGGGCCTCTAGAAAAATTAGTTTTGGGGAAGCGAAAGAATCTCCATTGTATCTATATATGTGTTATTGTGTTGAACAAGAGAATGATGAGAAGATAAAATACAAATATACATGTTGTTAAAACAATTTAGCTGTTATAAAATATTATATTATGTAGTGGATGTTTATAACTTTTAAATAAGTTACTCCCGCTACTCTTCTCCATTAATTTCCCACTACTTCTTATCATTATGGTTGTAACTCCCACACCTCCATAACATTCTCCATGATCTTCCCTCATGATCTTAATAGTTAATACCATATTTATGACATCCTTTTGTATTACCTAAATATCATCCTATAAATAGAGGGTTTGGTGATCGCATTGTATACACTTGAATACATGGAAGAAATAAGAATCTCTCCTCTCTTTCTCTCTATATCTCTTATTTTTTCTTGTTTTATATTGTTATTTTGAGCTAAGTTTATTAACACGTTATCAGCACGAAACTCTAATTTTTTTTTATTTCAATTAATATCTTAAAGTACGAAGATAACCAAGTCCATTGTTGAACTACAAAAATGTTGACTACCTAGAATCATGGGTGAAGCTACCTTCCACCGAGGGTGGTCAACTGACCACCCTTCGCCGAAAAATTATACTACGTATAAGGTAAAATATTATTTATTATTGATTAAAAATAGACCTTGAACATCCTTACATAGCCCACTGACAGAGGTTTGAACACCCTTGTTGAATTTTCTGGTTTCGCCACTGCCTAGAATCAATTAGGTTGCCAGTGGAAGCTCGAGTATTTCATATGTGAATCAATTTGCTTCAATTGTCGAGAGAGTGTTTTTTTTCATCCTTCCTATAAATTCTAATTTTAATATTTGGGATTTAAGATTTGGTATTATTCATATTACACAAAATACAATATTATTTGTGCAGGAAAATGAGCTTGTTGAATCAAGAAGAACCATATCCAATCTTTTGATTTGCTTTTGTATTATACGTGTCTGTGGGCAGTCACTTTTTGGCGATTGATGGAAAATATACAGTGACGTGGGTCATTAGAATTAGAAATTTGATTTTCATAAAAAAGAAAAAAAATTGACAGTGTTGTAGATTAAACGCAAGTAATTTACGCTGTTATTCATATTAGTTGTGACCTTCGCTGCAGTGTTATCTAATACTCCTCGTGATTAAAGGCTCAAGGGTGATGCACTATAGCCTATTATGCCAAAGGATGAGGATAAGATGGTGGGTTTTAAGTCACAACACATCATGAGGTTAAGATATTGGATTTTGAGTCCTGATACATCATGATAATAAAATATTGGGTTTGAGTCTCAGCATATTATGGTATGCCATACTTTTATAAGGGTAAGACATTGGGTTCTAGTCCCAATGCACCATATTGATGATATAATGATGACTAATGCAAAATAATATACTTTAGATAAAAAGCTCGTCCCACTGGATATGCTCCATTCCCTGAAGAGAATATGTTAGTAGTGCATAATAAGTCTAAATGAAGACAAATGGTTGACGAATGAACATTGGTGTGGCAAATGATAAAATAATAATAATAGTCATCATTATGTTAAGTACAAAAGGAAGAACAATAAGGGTTCTTAAAATAATTCTTCAAAAGGTGAATGCAATGTTTACTATCAAATTGGTATGAAAAAATAATAAAGTACATCGAGATGATTATACTCCATTCTTTGAAGAGAATGTGCTTATGCATGATTGAATAAATATTACAACTCACATCTATGGGAGGTTTGAGAGAAATAAAGATAATGAACATTACTGTGTGGTTACATGAATATGTCATTGGCCGCGTACATGTGGTACGCCAAAAATATTTTGCCATGCCTTATAAAAGGTTATTAAAAGCAAAATTAAAGCAAGAAATAATTTTGCTTATGATGATTTTGACCATGATAATTATTATGATATAATTTTCTCCGTAAATGAGACATTCACCATATGGATGGTATGACAAAAGATTTTCTAGTATAAAATTAATTAAGAACTCCGGAAGAACTAATTTGTTACTATCTGAATAAATAAAATTGTTCTTGATATTGATATTATAGTAAGTCTCAAAAGAAACTTTTTGAGTTTCAAATGTATAAGCCAAAGTGGTTGGCATATTGAGACTATAAATTAAAGGAAGATTGAATATCTTTATATTACTATAATCATACCGGGTAAATATAAAAGGTTACCCGACTTTTCTTCTATTTGTACTAAACAAGTATAAGCATGATGATGCAATCACATGTCACAAGTAAAATAGAGGTTTACTGAAACAAATATTAGTTGGCATAACCGTTTGGCCATCCCGGTTCAATTATGATGCGAAAATTAATTGAGAATTCACATTGGCATATATTGAAGAAATAGAAGATTCTTTAAGAATTCTCTTGTGCTGCTTATTCTCATGATATACCAGCTAAGGTTGGGATTCAATCCCTTGATTTATGAATTGAATAAAAGGTGATATATTTATGGGCCTAGTCACCTGCCATGTGGACTATTTACTATTATACGATTTTAATAGATGCATCTATTGTATGGTCACATGTGCGTTTGTTATCAACTTGCAGTTTAGATTTTGTAAGGTTGCTTGCTCAAATTATTGGAGCATAGTTCCAGTATGTAAATTATGATGATTTATCTTGATAATACTGGTTTAAATCCAAGTTGATTTAGCAGAAATTGTATGCCTCCAATTATAGCTAAACCATTGGTGATGAGAACAAAACTCCCAAAACATAATTTGGTACAATATATATTATTTAATATACAACATCACTTGTACGCATCTAGCCAATAAGTTAAGATAAATTCTCCCTATCATAATTGGTTCAGGGTCAAGAACCAAATAATTTTCATCTAGAGATATGGATGTATTATATGATTTAATTGTCCTACCATAATGCACAAAGATGGTCCTCAAAAGAATGTTGGGATATGTATTGGTGATCGTAACATTAGGGGGAGAAAATGGGCACCTGAAAAAATAATACATGGAATGAATTATTATGTATACATCTAGCTCCTCGTACAAGAAATGTGAACTTGAAGTTCAAGTGATAATTCATTTGCAAAATATTGCCAGACACATTTGCTGACCCAAAGCTAAATATCATATTTTAGCTACTAATGCTTCAAATAGAATAAAGTCCATGACGGCCAGAGTCATTGGCACGCATGAAGCGAAATAAATCAATCGGTTCCAAAGATAAAACTCCTTGAAGAAAAAGAATGTATATTTTGAATAGACGATCAAATCCTCTAAACTTTTTCAAGGCACGTGGCTATCCTACCACAAAATTCATACGCTACTCTGCCACTCCCACTTCGGTTAAACCATCTCCTTAAGCAACTTCTCGACCTCTGCTCTTCATACTTGACCTGCTAGTAATTCAATCACCACGAGACACCTCCCACCATGTCCTTCCTTCTCCTTTGCTGCCAAATACTACCTCAAATCATAATCCATTTTTGTAGCACCCGAACGGATAAATTGCCACCAACTCTAAGCCTCCTCAAAGATCATCTTTCTGGAGCCATCAATACGAAAAATACTGATTCGACCCTGAAGCCACCTTACACTGCCATCTCTAATAATCGCTGCTCAGGCACCATCCAGCAATACCCTACCCCGAAAGCAATTCAAAGGAGACCATAACACTGAGCAGCCTCAATGCGTTCCAATAAGGATGACTACACCACGTCACAAATGAGAATTTCTACCAAGTTCGAAAATATCCGATCTCGCTACTCCATCAACCGGGGCCTTAACATCCATAGTCCAATTGCCTCTCCTCTGCTGGAATTAAATGCCGAACCTCTAAACTATGAACTGAGTAGTCCTCCTTTCGATTCATTCATTGATGTGACACATAAATAAGCACCTTATCATTTATACCAACACCGCCCGATAACCACTCATGAACATCATAATGCACCGTGTATAGCCGCAAAATCGTAGGAAACACTAATTATTGCACTAAAATGACAGAACATCCCTCCACGAGGCGACAACAATAGCCCAATTGAATACGTAGGGAAAAATATCTTGCACCACATCTGCAGTACCATTACAACTCCACGATGCCCAATTGATAACCAACGCTCCAGTCGCATAAGATTGAGTAGGAAGGAAATGAAGGCATAAGCTTCATGGAATCAAATCGCACGGCGAGGAATCAATAAGGTAAGTGCTCCTAAATGCCCTGTAGCCTCTCGAAGATAAGTATAGACGTCTCCGTACTGATCCACAAGACTCTACTAGACTTGCTCATGACTCGTGAGACACAAATGAACCTAGAGCTCTTATACCAAGCTGTCACGACCGAAAACTAACTATAGGCCGTGATGGTGACCAACGTCGCCGTTAGGCAAGCCAACGATAAACAATGACATAAATGTTCATTTTATTACTTTCGAAATCATAAATTTTTATTAAGTATGGAAATTTACACCTTTAAAATTCAAGGGTACATACATAATTAGTATTTCATAAAATAAAAGGTGATAATAATATGCAAATCCGTAAGCATCAACTAGAATATCCTCAAAATCCGGTGCCACAAGTGCATGAGCATTTACTAAGGAGTACAACAATAATACAACATCTGTATGGAATGTAAATAAGACATGATAAAAGTAAACAGTACGACGGAGACTCTGTGAGCTGCAATACATAGCCTGGAATGTAGCTCACCATAAAGTCTTCTCAGCAGCTGCGCCTATGTGCCCAGATGTCCACCAAATGAACATGTCAGATCCTGCATATTTAGTACAGAAGTATAGCATGAGTACGTAAATCAACGCGTACCCAGTAAGTATCTAGCCTAACCCTAGAGAAGTAGTGACGAGGGGC